TGACGTTGTTGTTGTTGTTGTTAGGTGCCGTCGAGTCAACTCCGACTCATAGCAACCCAGTGCACAGCAGAACGAAACACTGCCCAGTCCTGTGCCAGCCCCACGATCATTGCTATACCTGAGCCCATCGTTGCAACCACTGTGTCAGTCCATCTCGTTGACGGCCTTCCCCTTTTCTGTTGTCCCTCCACTTTGCCACACATGATAGCCTTCTCCAGGGAATGGTCCCTTCTGAAAACATAACCAAAGTAGCCACATAGATTTACAGCCTAGGAAACATTACGGGGGCTGTTCGACTCTTTCCTAGGGGCTGCTAAAGACTTTGCTTTGTTTTTTTTAAAGATTATAGCCTTGGAAACCCCATGGGGCACTTCTGCTCTGTCCCCTAGGGGTGCTATGAGTCACAATTGACTCGGCAGTGCGTTTGTTGGGGCTTTGTTTATGTAAAGATTACAGTCTTGGAAACCCTATGGGAGCAGTTCTCTGTCTTCTAGGGGCACTGAGAGTCAGAATCAACTAGAGAGCAGTGGGTTTGATTTCTTTGGTAAATTACTTGTAACTTCTAATGATTTGTTTAGTTGCTGTTTGGGGTTAATCCTGATTGATCCTGTTTCATGTTTCAAAAGACAATATTTTCTTTTTATTTGTCTTTGATTTCAAAAAGCCAGGAAAGGATTTTTTCAAAGCTAATCAGATAAATGTAATCCAATTATGCAAGTAACTTTGCCCTGGCCTTTCTACCACTTGGGAAGAGGCGTCCTCACGTCTTTGTGAATTACCCAGAGGGCAGTCTGCTGACCCCACGCTGTCAGGTCAGGGACTCCAGGATGAAGAGCTCTCAGGGGGCAGACCAGCAAGGCTGGAATCTTCAAAGGAAGCCCATAAACTAAATGGTTGAAAGGGCAATTCCCAGTAACCCTCGGGGCAGGCCCCAGTCTCCCACGGCCCTCTGGGGACCTCAGGTAGGGGGGCGTCACACACACACACACAGGTACCGCCAGCCACACAGCTCCCAACCCTGTTATCAAAAGACAGTTTCCAAAACTGTTAGGAAGACTGAACTAGTCTCCTTTTCTAAAACTAGATGTTTTGTTTTTTGCTTAAATTTAAAATTGTTTATTTTCGATTATCCCAAGTTACTGCTTTTCTTTCTCTCTTCTAGTATGCTTTAACTAGGTCTTTATTATGAAACTAATACTCACTGGGAGCAAAAAAAAAAAAAAAAAGAAGTCCAACAGTACAGAGAAATATACAAATATAAACTATCACTACTCCGGTTCCCAGAAGTGGTCATGCCAACGGTTTCCTGTGCATCTTTCCAGAAATTTCCCACACACACAGACATACAATTAATAACTTAAACGTGTGTGTGTGTGTTTCTTTTTGGGGTTGTAATTATACAGCATGCCTTCAACTTGCTTTTGTCACTTAATAAATAAGATTTTACAAAGTCGATGGAAAAGCAAAGAATTATTTCATTTATGGAAAACGTATTTTTGAATACCAATTTGCTGAAGTTATGTGCAAAGGGAGGAAAATTTATGATAGTTGGAAGTTGGTGAATACAGGGCCTATGATCTTCATTAACCATGAAAACGAAGGTTTTAATTATAAACCCAAGTGATTGAATCAGAAGACTCCGTGCTGTTGAAATAATGCTTTTCTACCTAAATTCAGTGACTGCACACAATTATCCTAAGGGTATTTCCTCTGGACACAGTTATGCAACGAATTAAGACTGAAACTCTTGGATACCATTAGCTTGCATGATTCACCGCTTCAAAGTAAAATTCTCACTCTTCTTCACACTAGGCACGGCGTGTGGGAGCTTACAGTTTATTTAGGGGATATACGTGAGCAAAGAAGGAGCTCTGGTGACGCAGTGGATAAGGCATTCGGCTGCTAACCAGAAGGTCAGCGGTTCAAACCCACCAGCCGCTCCACAGAAGGAAGATGGACGACGTATTTCCGTGTCTCCCCAGGCGGCTTCCCAAGTTCAAGAACACAGCTTGTCTGAGACGGAATGCCTGCTCCCCATAAGCCAGTCACCCGACCGTGGGCAGTCACTTCCCTGGGGGTCTGTTGCCTCGTCTGTAATTTACAGCCTCGGAAGCCCAATGGGGGTGGTGACTATGGCTGGAATGAGTTAGCAAAAGAGCCTTGGTGGCAGCAGGGTTAAGGGATGCGGCTGCTGATCAGAAGGTCAGCAGTTCAAACAGACCCAGTGGCTCTTCAGGAAAAACGGCTTGGCCATCTCCTCCCATGAAGACTAAAAACCACCCCAAACTCATTGCCATCGATCGAGTCCGACTCAGAGGGACTCCCGGTGGGTTTCCAAAACTGTAAGAGTCTCTACAGAAGCAGACTGCCTCATCTTTCTTCCATGGAGCAGCTGGTGGCTTTGAACCATCGACCTTTTGGTTAATAGCCAAATGCCTTATCCACTATGCCACTAGAGCTCCTTCCCATAAACACTCAAACTAAAAATAATCCCACTGCCATTAGGTGGATTCCGACTCATAGTGACCCCCACTGGGTTTCTGATGCTGTAAATCTTTACGGACATAGACTGCCCCATCTTCCTCTAGGGGAGCAGCTGGTATGTTTGAACCACTGACCTTCTGGTTAGCAGCCAAATGCCTTAGCCACTACGCCACCAGATTTCCTATAGCCTAGAAAATCCTCCAGGGCAGTACTCTGTCCTGTAGGGTCACTATTAGTTGGAATTGACTCAGTGGCACCTCACGGCAACACAGAAACGTAAGGAAACAGCTGGTTAGAATGCAGGGCAAGTAAGAGGCCCCACACGGGGTCTGGACACTGGATTCACTACCAACCAGAGAGCAGGTGCTGGTCTTGTCCCCGAACTACAGACGAGGAAACGGACCCACAGAGAAGTGACTGCCCACAGTCACACGACTGCCTCGTGGGAAGCAAGCATTCCGTCTCAGACGGGCTGTGCTGTTGGCCTTGGAAGCCTCCTTGCGAGACACGTGGAGGGACTCAGGGAGTGGGGCTGTTTTTCTAGGGAGCCCTTCTCACCTCGAGCAAGAAGAGGCAGAGAGCTGAGAAGGTGGACAGGTGGGGACGCTGCCAGGTCACCGGGCAAGAGTCCCTAATGAGCAAGGTAAGCACAGGCTTCCTTGTGCTTACTTACTAACCTGTAGTGAATAGTTTCATGAGTTTTTCTCCACAGAGTGTTCCTCTTGTTCACTGGGTACCTGTCCCTGTCAGGGATTGTACACTGTTCACTACAGATTAGTAGGTAAGCACAAGTGAGCCGGTGCTTACCTTGCTGACTGGGCCCTCCATGCCTGTGGGGCACTGTCCACTGGAAACGAGGTTTTGATTCTGTGGGAAGGTGCTGTGGGGTGGGGAGACAGACAGCTGCCAACCACACCCAGAAGCAGAACCTTTGATGAGGTGAAAAAACGCAAAACCAAACCCACTGCCATCGAGTCGGGACCAACTCACAGCGACCCCTCCTTGGGTTTCTGAGGCAGTATCACTATAGGAGTAGATTGCCCAACCTTCCTTCCTCCGAGTGGCTGGTGGGTTTGAACCGCCAGCCTTCTGGTTAGCAGTCAAGTGCCTTAGGCACTATGCCACCAGAGCTCCCTTGATGAGGTGAGGACATGTGGATTTATTCACTAACGATTAGTAAGGAAGCACAAGTCTGCCCATGCTTACCTGCTGAGTGGGCACCCCAACACTGGTGGCAGCCCAACAGCGGGTGAAGGCTGTTACCCCAGAAGTTGAGGGAACTGCTGGGCATGTGGTGGGGTGCCTCATCCAGCCGTGTGCAGTGGGGGACAGGGTCGGCCCGGGTAGGTGGAGGGCCTGAGCGGGCTGCTGTGCTGTGAGGCCCAGGAGGGACCTTTGCTCCTGGGGGCCGTGGAGGGCCGAGAGGACGCAGCTGGAACAGGGTATTTTAATTCGGTTACCTGCACAGCACTTGTTCTGCTGTGAGAAGAAAACGCTCCAGTGAAGATCTTTCGGAAATCTCTTTTTGTTTCAATCCCTGAGAATTTCATTTTATTGGAGTCCCTGGTGGTGCCAGTGGTTAGGCGCTCACTACCAATCGAAAGGTTGGAGGTTCAAACCCACCCAGTGGCACCTCAGAAGACTGGCCTGGCCATCTGCTTCCGAAAGGTCACGGCCTTGAAAACGCTATGGACCAGTTGTACTCTGCACGCAGGCTCTCCGTGACTCACCACCCACTTGACAGCCACCACCACCACCAGCAGCAACATAACATCGTTTCAGAGCATTAAAGAAGGTGCCCCTCGTATGTGCTGGTCTGGGGGCCTCACGTCAGGACCGCTACCCCCTCAGCGTGTGAGGAGAGCTTGGCCCAGGTGTCAAGTCTCCAGGAGTCAGCACCTGCCTCAAAAGACAACAAGAGACAGGGACCGCAAAGGGAGCCTCTTACATGGAGAGGTGGCCTAGCCCCAAGGAAGGGCAGGTGTGGCCCGGCTGAGGCCGGGCCCCCGCCTCTGGGACGGGCCTGGCCCTAACTTCCTACCCCTCCCGGAGCTATGTCCTCAACCGGGACATTCGATCCCACGTGGTCACAGAAGCACTGTGTCTGTGGTGGCAGTGGGTGCCACTGAGTCGATTCAGACTCGTAGCGACCCGAACACAGAGTACATCTGCCCCATTGGGTTTCCATGGCTGCAGTCCTGGTCTCTCACTGAGCGGCTGGTGGGTTTGAACCACCAGCCCTTCAGCTGGTCGCCGAGTGCTTAACCACTGTGCCACCAGGGCTCCTTACAGAAGCACTATGTAGACCATATTTCTGAAAATATGTTGCAAAGCAATTTCATTAGAACAGAACAGTAAATAAACAAGTCAGTCTTTCCTGCATTCTTAGCCTAAGGGTTCCACTCTTCTAAAATGAAGCCAGGAAACCTCGTGGCTTCGTGTCAACAGGCTTCTGGCTCAGGAGCCCACGGCCACCTCGGTGACTGAAGACGCGCCGCGTCGCCGCGCCGGCTCACCTGCACTCGATGAACCAGTGGCGGATCTGGCCCTGCAGGTTCTCCTTGATGTCGGGACCCTCCAGTAGCTTCAGGTCATTCTTGATGGTGACCATGGCTTCCTTGTAGCCCTCTTCATGCTTGATCTGCACCTCGTTCCGCCGCGAATTCACCTTCTGGGCCTGGATGAGTGCAGCACTGACTTCATTAAACTGGGGGGGCGGCTTCTGAAAACATAAGCAAAGACGTTTGAGATCGTAAGAGCTAGAGAGCTGGAGAAAAACGTCAGAAACTAACTCGGCACATCAATGTCGTTAATGATGTCCCACCAAAGACCCATCTGGGAGCTCTGGTGGTGCAAAGGTTGAGGCACGGAGCTGCTGATGAAAACAAGCAGTTTGAACCCAACACCTACTCCAAGGGAGCAAGATGAGGCAATGTCCTTCTGTAAAGACGTACAGCCTGAGACACCCGATGGGGGTCATGTGAGTCAGAACGGACTCAATGGCAGTGGGTTGTCAAAGATCTATCCAGTCCCTGAGTAGCGTAAGCGGCCTGCCCTCGACTACTAACGGAAAGCTGGGTGGTTTGAACCCACCCAGCAGTGATGTGGAAGAAAGGCCTGGGAATCTGCACCCCTGAAGATTACAGCCAAAACCCTAGGGGCAGCTGTGCCCTGTTCAGACATGGGGTTGCCATGGCCTGGAACTGAATCGACAGGAACAGGTTTGTTTTCTGAACCAAGGGTTCTTAAGAAATATGTACAGAATAAAATAATTCAATACAATAGGCAAATCTGAAGAAATGATTTAAAAATCATTGAAGGGAGTCCTGTGGTCAGTTAGAAAAATGCATACTCGACACCCGCTGCCGCTGAGTCAATCCCGACGCATAGTGACCTTACAGGACAACAGAGAACTGCCCTATAGGGCCCCTAGGCTATGAATCTTTACTGAAGCAGACTGCCCTGTCGTTTTCCCGCGGAGTGGCCGGTGACCCTTCCGTTAGCAGCTGAGCGCTTTAACCACTGTGTTACCAGTTCCTTGGATAATCAATAAACCTTTTTTTTAAGTCATTCAAAGTATAGAAAGTAAAGCTTTTCCAAATCTTTTTTTTAAGAAATGCTGCTGCAGAATTATTTTTAATTTTTTAATTGTGCTTTCGATGCCAGTTTACAGAGTGGTTTGTTTTACATTTGACATTTCATGTACATTTCATTTCATGCCTCAATTACCATGCCCAGCCCTAACCCACTCTCCTCCCCTCCCTGCCCAGGAACCCCCCACCCCCATAGTTATGCTCCTGTGTGTCCTGCATTTCCTCCTTGTGAATGTTGCCCCTCTGGTGCCCCATGGTCGATTGCTCCAAGGGATGTATTTCCATAGAGTACGAGGGTGTGTCACCCCGGGTGGAGTGGTCTGTATGTATGTCTTATATACTATTGGGTTAAGAGCCAGGCTCCAGAAGTTGAGTTTTATTCCAGGGCTGAAGTGTATCCCAGGGCCATAGTATTGGGGGTCCCACCAGAGTCCATCCGACCAGTAATTCTGGTCCTTATTGTGTTTTTGGATTTTGCTCCATGTTTTTCCTCCCACTCTACCCAGGATCTCCAGTTTCGATCCTTTCCTGAGTGATTGGCATCGGTAGCTGGGCACCATCTAGTTCTTCTGGTCTCGAGGTCCATCATATCCTAGGGATGATTGTTTCCAAATGTCATTTTTTTTTCTTTTCTTTTTAACACTCTTCTTCACTTCCAATGATAGGAGACCATTAGCTGCATCTTAGATGGCCACTTGAAAGCTTTTAAGACCCCAGTCGCTACTCACCAAAGTAGGTTGTGAAACAAGATTTTTATGTATTTTATTGTGCCAATTGAGTCTGGTGTCCCCCAATACTATGGTCCTGATTTGGCAGATCTGGTGGATCTCTCTCCCACAGTGTCTGGCTGTCTGTGAGGCATTGCTCTATGGCTGTCTACTGCTGTTTCTGTAAGGATTGCGGGTATTTTGTATCACTGGTATCTGTGCAAGATTAGCCTCAACTGAATCTATCTTGGTCTGGAGTATAATCCTGTTCACTGACCCCCATCTGATCTTCTCAGATGGCTATGTGTTTATCTGTAGCCTGGTGTCTGGTGTTAATGGTAACGCAGTATTGTGGATATACTGGTATTAGCGTCTGTCATCTATATCTTATGTGCACATAATGTCTTCTCCCTTTCCCTAATGTTATCATGGTGGTCACAGACTCTTTCCATACCATCCCTCCCCTTACCCACCTCAGTGTGTGGCCCCCAACTAGCCCAAAATTAATTAATCCCTCCCCTTCCCTCCCCACCCCAGTAACTTACAAAGTGAGTTCCCTTCCTTAAGCAAACCCTTCTTTGTCTTTTTTACCGTAGTGGGCTCATATAATATTTGTCCTTCTGTGATAGACTTATTTTACTCAGCATAATGTCCTCCACATTGTGAGATGATTCACGTATCCTTCATTGTTCTTTAATGTAGCATAGTATTCCACTGTGTGAATGAACTGTAATTTGGTTATCCATTCATCTGCTGATGGGCATTTAGGTTGTTTCCATCTCTTGCCATAGCGAATTGTGCTGTGATGAACATAGATGTGCACATGTCTGTTCATGTCCTGCCTCTCACCTCTTTAGGATATATTCCTAGTAATGGAATTGCTGGGACAAATGGTATTTCTAATTCCAACTTTTTAAGGAGTCACATATGGTGAAGTTAGTAATTGGTTTTTCCATGTCCTTTGGTATTTGGATCAGGATTGCATCAAATGTGTAGATTGCTTTAGGTAGTATTGACATTTTCACAGCATTCAGTCTATCTATCCATGAACAAGGCAGGTTCTTCCATTTGGAAGTTGTCTTTAACTGTTAGTTATGTATTGATTTGTTGTCTTGGTTTTATGATTTAGTATTTTTGGAAAGGTGGAGCTGGTGTATTTTATTTTTTTGGCTATTAATTCATTGTGATGATGGAATCACTGTGTGGAATGTGGACGCAGGTCTCTGTCACGAAGGGAGTTTAGGATTCGAGCCAGCAGGTGTTATGGTGGCTTAATGTGGTTTTTCTATTGGATGAGGCAGGGGGGAGGTGGGGAAAGGAGGAAGAAAAGAGAGGGGGAAATAAAAAGCTCCAAGGCACCAGGAGCCATTTCCAGGGCTTTGAGTGGGCCACTAATAATGACGTTATACTGTTACTTACAGGCCCGCAGCTCAAGTTTGACAAAGAGTATAATTTTTAGGGGGCTGCCACTTTTTGCAGGTTCAGACAGCCGCAAAAACCCTGCTCTCCAGGCCCCTCCATGCCAAAAAGCTGAGCTGACCTGATCTGGGATGTGGGCTCGTCCCAGGGGCCGCCCACGTGCGGCATGATTCCCCTCCCTGCTCCCGGTTCAGCGGCACCCAGAGCCAGAGGGGTCTCTGCGCCTTCCCAGCGGTTCCAGTTTACCGGTGAAAGCAGGTGCCAAAGGTAGATCCGTGGAGCGGTTGCAGGTCTCTGGTGCGGTGTGTTCTCCTCACTGCCCTAGGGAGCCCTCCGATGCCCCCTCCTGGTGGCCAGTTGGCGCTCCGCAGGGCAGGTTCGCCTGCTGTTTTCTTTCTGGATAATTGCACTGCCCCTTTCTCCTTTCGAATCCTACTGCCCTGAGTTCGGTGTACTCTGACTTAATGAGCTGTTCAGAGCACCAGAATCCCCGCTTCAAACTGCTGCACCTAGCTTTCCAGGCACTAAAATGCTACAGGGAACTACTGTGTGTGCTACAGGAAAGACGCCATCTCCCCAAATCTTCTTGTTTAGTGGGACAACAAAGAACCCAAATGAAGAAGGCGTCAGAGCAAGAATGGAGAAGAGTGGGTGCCGGTGACTTCAAGAGAAGCTACGAGGGCCAGCTCCAGAAGCACGCATTGCACTGTGACAGACCTCCAGGAAGGACATTCTCCAGTTGCCACAGATACTATCTGACACTAAATCGTATTGATGGATGGGCTCCATCAAGATCTGCTGATCCGCAAGTCAACAGAGGCCTGATTATGAAGCCCCAATCAAATGCTTAGACCGTTCCAGCGTCACTGGAGAGAGGGTAAGAGAAATTCAAGCACAATTCTTGTTCTTTAGGGATTTAAAGTGAAGTTGACAGGATTAGATGGACATATGATGTCATTAGGGAATAGTGTGAGAAACTGTACGAAAGCACTACATTGTGGGTTTGGAGAAGGAAAGGAAGCGTGGGGGCAGTGGCACGGGAAATGCAGCTAAGAGAACCGGAGACACATGTCCTCTCCAGATGAGGAACTGAGCTCCAAAGACGTTCTGCGATCCAGCCCAGGTCACCCAACAAGCCAAGGGCGCAGCCAGTGGGGTACTGGAGCCAGCCCGTGGCAACGACGCACAATTTCAGGCATGTCCCACTACACTGCTGTTCACTTCAGTGTGCTTCACAGATGCTGTGTTTTTTACAAATTGAACGTTTGTGGCAACCTGGCATCAAGCAGTCTACAGGTGCCATCTTCCCAACACCATGTGCTCCCTTCGTGTCTCTGTGCCGTTTTGGTTATTCTCACAAAATGTCAAACCTTTTCATCCTGCTGTCGCACACTTAGCAGACGACAGTATACCACAAACGTAACTTTTAGATGCCCCGGGAAACCAGAAGTCTGTGTGACTTGCTTTATTGCGACATTCCCTTTATGGCACTGAACCTGCAGTCAGTCCTCTGAGGTCTGCCTGTAAATAAATTATATTAAAAATCAATATAACCAATACTCCAAACCCATCACTTTATTATTTTACTACATTTTTCTCTTAGCTACGCTTTTCAGGTCACCTCTTTCAGCGGTACTTCTATAAATACTGTGTAACGGAGAGCTGCTATGCTAATCCTCCCCGGTCCATGAAGCACGTTTACACCATGGGAATCGGCCCAAGCTATACAATGAGCTTGCTTTGATTGTCTAGACTTGAGAAAATGATAGAGAGTATGACTCATTGGGATTGTGCTGAATTTATGAATCAATTTTCAGAAAATAATACGGATTTTCCCAATACATGAGCAGGAGGTATTTCTCCAGTTATTTAACTCTTTCATTTCTCTCAGCTATGTTTTACAACTTTCCGTGTGGAGACGAAATGCTTATTCCTAGCTATTTGATACTTCCTGATATTATTGTCAATGGTATTGTCATTTTCCAATGATTTGTTGCTCATAT